AGTACCATTTTATACTTTCGTGAAGTATCAGGAAGGGTGTCAGGAGGGGAGGAATCTGGTGAAAGGAATTACGTGAGTATTCTGTTGGGTGAGGTAAGGATAATGGGGAACGAAGAGAGTAACCTGTTGGGTGAGGTAAGGATAATGGGGAACGAAGAGGGAATGCTGCAGATGAGGGGTGTGTTGGGAAAGAGTGGGAAGAAGAGGGGTACGAAGAACTTGAGGGGGAGTAGGATAGATGTCGGATAATACTTCGAATCTAGAGGGAATAGGAATAAAGGGATTGGAGGACGGGTGACTAAGTGGAACATTTTCTTGGGTCATGTCTAGGAATTTTTGAATGTCTTCAAAGGTTTCTGGAGGGGATTTGAATAGGGAGGTCTGAGAACCGAAGGGAGGAGTGGTAGTACCAGGGAGTGGTAAGTACGAGGGAAGTGGTCGAGATTGGAGTATCTGGATTTAGACTGGAAAAGGAATTTGACTGGGGTAAGGGGGAGTAGAGGCAAGATGGTTTGAGGTAAAGGGAAATGCTGATATATCTTGAAATTGGAGAGTGAAGGACAGTTTTGGAATAAGCAGAGAGAGAAAAACCTCGTTGTCGTGCTTCCTGTCTGGCCTCATGTAGAGTGAGACCTAGCTTGAATCTGAGAACTGTTACCTGACATTTGAGCTTATAGGCAGGGCAGCTCCTGTAAAATACATTATGGGAGACACCACAATTGGCACATGTACGTGACAGCAGAGCAATTCGAACAGTCATTACCAGGTTAGGTTTATAGAAGGCAGCGGGCTGTGGAGCGACAGTGCTGGGTGGCCAAAATTCCAACATTTTTGGCATTGATGAAAAAAGGGGTTGATATGGTCGGGCATGGTAGGACACTCCACCAACGTAAACTTCATGGGTGAGGTCATGTCTACGAAAACTAATCTTGACAATATTGACATGGGACTTATGCTGTCCTCTGGGAGGAATAGTGTAGCACTGTACTGCCACTGCATCATAATCAACAAGGCAAGCAAGAAGGTAATTTTCACAATCTGACCAGTTATTATCATAGATAGGACAAGCAGTCGGGAGACAGAAACAGTTCCAGTACAAGTATTGAGAAAGGGTTGAGGTTCGGTAGGAATGGGTTTGCAAGTGAGGTCAGTCAGGGTAGATAGTGCACAAGCTTGGGACTCCGATGTAATTGTCACAAAGTGTGAACGATTGGAGTGACTGAGAAAGGAAACTTTGCCTACTTGTTATTGGAGACATATTTGAAAGAGAAGGGTACTCTGAGTAAAGGGTTGTAGGGGAATCACAAAGAATCGAACCCACTTGGCTGGGCCAAAGACAGTACTCAAAAGCTTTGCAGAGGAGGAACAGTAGAAGGACGAGGGTGGGAGGAAGATAGGGGTGGTGTGGAGTGTAGTAGTTCTGTGGGGGTGAGGAGAATAAGGATGAGGAATAGTAATAAGGGAAGAGGAAGTAGAAGACAGTGCAGTAGGAGATGGAGTGGAGAATGTTGGGAGAGAGGAAGGGGTGCATTCTGAAGGTTGAGTAATGACCAGGGTGGGTGTTTTGGAGTGGATAGAGTAGTCAGTAAATGTTAAGGAGGGGTTATTAGTATCAGTGATCGGAGCTGTGGCCAAAGGGGCAGGGGTCAAAAACGTTCGAAATCAAATTCAGGTAGGCTAGTTGATGAAGGGGCAAGCCTTAATGCCCCAATTAAGGGTAAAGAACTTTCATCATTGGCCATGGTGAGCCTAAATAAAATTGGGTAAAGAAATGGTCTCCCCCTCAGGGTCCCTATAAGTGGTAAGGGCTAGGCGATTAACCAAGGGAAAACTGTGCCCATGGCTCCTGGAGGCTGTTCATGACACAAAACCAGCTTTTCATCCTTTCAGCACGGCTCCCACACCTTAGAATGGGAAAGAAGGGGATGAAGATATGGAAGAAGAAAGGGGAAGAAGAAAAGACAATGCAGATTTAATTGAGGTGAGGGCTGAGCTCCAAGGCAGGGACAAACCCATACATAGGGCCTCTGTCTCTGTCTCATAAGCATTAATTGCCCATTGAAAACAATGAGCAATGGTTGGGAGGGATGATATTATTATTGAAATAGGAGTTTACATATACTGAGTTAATGTTTACATTACTTATGCTTCATGTTTATTTTTTTTTCTTTTTCATGTTGATACTGAAATGTATAGTTTTCTTCCTCATTTCACACAAATGGTTTAGCGGCATATAGAATAATTCTTATTAGGTAATGAATAAAAGACTGTTGGAAAAATATTTGCATTTTTATTGATGCCCAAGTGTAGAAAATTTAGTGGTTCCACACACAAAACAATGAAATTCATCAAGTTTGATATCAATTAGAAAATGATGGTAATGTATTTACATACATTTATTTCTTTCTCTATATATAAATGCTAAGATATTTAACATTTATTTTACACATTTGTAGATTTCACTTTTTAAACAGTTCTAAGGCTTCTTGAATGGTATTTTTTCTATATAGAAATACAAAGTTATTTAACATTTATTTTACACATCTGTAGATTTTACTTTTTAAACAGTTCTAAGGCTTCTTGAATGGCATTTACCCCATCCCTTGCCACTGCCAACATATCCTTCTGGCTTGCTACCAACTGCTTCTGGCCTGCCACCAGTTCTGACAACAAAGTGGCAACAAGTGTCTGGTTTTGCACCAACTGGGCAAGAGAAGAACTTATCCCTTCCTGGTTGGTGGTCATTTCCTCTGGAAAGAATTATATCTTATTTGTGAAGGAAGAAAATCAGAAACACATACTAAATAGCATAGGAAAATATATACATGGATTAATCAATCAATTACAAAAACAGGTTTATTATGAGTAGTGAATAAAGAATGCAAGCTTAATTAAAAATGACAACTTAGTTACCTGTTGAAGAAGAAGTCCTAGAAGCTTGTGCTCCATGAGGATCAGCATCAGTACTTTTATCTGTATACCTTTGTTGATTGTGGCTGAAAATGGAAATGCTTGTTTTACCTACATGTATACATTGCGTGTGCGCGTGTGCGTGTGTGTGTATGTGTGTGTGTGTGTGTGTGTGTGTGTTTGTGTTGTGTGTGGTTGTTTGGGTGTGGGGTGGGGGGTTTTTAAAGCATTCTGCTTGAGTGTTGGTATAATCAGTCCCATATGTCCTCCCACGGGCCCTACATAGTTACAGAAAACAACCTTCAAGAATTAATGGATTTACAAATGAATGATATTCAGATAATGAAAACTACCCCCTGTGGTTGGCAGTAAGTAAAAGAAAAAAGAAAAGAAAGAAAAAAAAAAGAAGAAAAAAAAGAAAAAGAAAAAAAGAAAAGAAAAGAAAAGAAAAAGAAAAGAAAAGAAAGAGAAAGAAAGAAAAGAAAAGAAAAAGAAAAAAAGAAAGAAAGTTCTATGTACACACTTACCTGCTGTTGCTCTGTAAAAGTCTGAAGGCAGTTATTGGAGGACTTCCTCCTCCGTTCTCACTCACTACAGCTTCATCTTCATTTGAATGAGAACCTATAATTGTTTAAGGATATTAACAATAACATGTATAGAACATGTATATATTGAAAAAGTTACTATATTATCTACTATTATTCCAGTTTACATGAACAGAAATTGGGGATATAGCATTTCCGTAACAGCTTCCACAACCTGAGGAGTTTCATAACCAATAACAATAATCTATGTAACTTTAATAATGAAGGATATGATATACGTTTTGCCTCTGAAGGCAGAAAAATATAAAAAAGAAAAACATATATATCAATGAGAAAAACATAAAACAAAAAACGCGTCACAATGGCCGTATTCCATTCCATGATCTAATTTACAATATGTGAAATGTATAAGTGTATGTGTGTGTGTGTGTGTGTGTGTGTGTGTGTGTGTGTGTGTGTGTGTGTGTGTGTGTGTGTGTGTGTGTGTGTGTGTGTGTGTGTGTGTGTGTGTAGGCGCGTGCGCACGCGTGTGTATGGTTTACAGCTCCCAAAACCAGAAAAAAGTAAACAATATCAGAAACATACCACATTAACTGTTCACATACTGAGACCCCAGCGGCCACCATATGGAGACCAAACAAATCCTAAACCAAGCATTAAGGCGGCTCATACACACCTATCACAAACATGGTAATAGTTTACCACGATTGGTATGTTACTGGTGGTAAAAGCTGTAATTGGAATTTATCATAAACAGAAATTCAATAAAGAAAATGTTAGGATGCTTACCTATTCTTGGGGAAATCTTCATCTCTGCTTTACCATTTACATGCACGATTCCCTCATCCAATACCTGAAAATATAATCAACCGTTGAAATATCATCATATCATATATAATATCATCATAACTATTCATCATACTTATCACTGCTAATGACTTCAGTTGTTGACATGCCAGATAATTTTCAATAATCCATCGATCTTATTACCAACACTTTGGTTTTGTAACTGAGTGGTTATTTGTCTCAACACACTAAATTACTGTTAATCAATTTCCAACAATATGTTAGGCAAAAACTACGTAAATTCCTTAGGAAATAAGGCAGACTTATAAAATAAACAATATATATGAGGCCCCGTCTGCGAGAGGGGCGTAACCCACAAAAGTGGCGGTTACAGGCACCAACTTGTAGACAAGATACTGAAAATTAAACTCGTGTGGCAGTGTCAGCCAAAGGAAAAGAGACATTCCTGATGGGTTAATTTAAGCCAAAAGTTGGATGTTTTTGGCGTCCACGCAGCGAGATTCACTATTGAAATTTGTGCGAGAGGGCTTTATGCTCTGGGTGGTGCCGGAGCCAATGAAAACGGATTATATTACTGCCCCAGTTCTCAGCCAATCACAGACCACTTCGGCACAGCACCCTCCTTTCGCTCAAGTCTCTCTCTCTTCCTCTTGCGATGTCGTCTAGCGATGGAGATACTGACGACCCTGCCCCTGATTTGTCTGGGAGTGATCCAGATGTGGATATCTGGAGTGCAGAAGCGCAGTAGAAAAGGAAAGGAATCCCTAAATTGTGGGTTAGGAACGTGGCCAAGGTGAAACGTGACAGTGGGGAAAGGGAGTGATACGGGAGTGATAAAACCAAGAATATTGTCATTGTCAGGGTTGTTGGGCCTCCTTGTACCTGCCTGAGATGTTACAACCGAGTTGGTGCTGACAATGTGAAGTGTATTTTTCAAGAGTATTGGAAAATGGGTGACCATAATGCGCAGTCAAGCTACTTGATAAATCGTGTTGTGTCCTAGGAGGTGAGTCGTCGTTATGCTGGACCTAGCACAAAGAGAAGTGTGACCTGTGAATATTCAGTGCTACTGAACAATAACACGTAGTGGTGTGTAAAGTGGCATTCTGTAACATCCATTCCATCAGCATGAAATGAGTGGATAATGACAAGAGAAGGTAGGGAGACCTATGGACACGTGGAAGTGCGTAGAGTGCAGACTCTGACGTCTCAAACATTTTTGTGGGGCTCGCAATGGGGCATATATATATATATATATATATATTATATATATATATATATATATATATATATGTGTGTGTGTGTGTGTGTGTGTGTGTGTGTGTGTGTGTGTTGTACATTACATAATATTACACACACCACACATTACACACACACATTACAATATATATAATATATATATATATATTTATATACACATTATACATTATTCATACAACAAGGCACACAATTATATATTATATATATTATATTATATATCTCATACTATCATCTAACAACACACACACACAACACAACACCAACACAACACACTAACACCCCACCCCACCAATATTTTTATATATTATTATGATATATCTATTAATATATATATACATATATTATATATATATATATCTATTCTATAATTATATTATTATATTATATATGTATATATATAATATATTATATATATATATATATATTATATATATATATATATTATTAATAATTATATATAATTATATATATATATATATGTATATATATATATATATATATATATATTATATATATATATATATATATATATATATATATATATATATATATACAGTATATAATATTATATATATATATATATATATATAGGTATATTATAATGATATATTATTATATATTATTCAGCGCATAGATGTATATTTTTATGTAATATCATATGTACAATATATGTATTTATTTAATACATATATTGCGCTGGCCACATATTGCGCTATAGACCGTTTGACTCCCCACCTCCGCAAGTCATCAGGGCGCAAGCATAGAGTTAGTTAGAGGGTATTAAATACTCGTAAACAGGTCCAACCTAGCATAACAAGCCGGGAAAATAAGAAAAGAAACTCGCAGTTGCTAGCGGGAGTAGCTGAACGAACAGCAAGAGAATATTTGAGAAAGAGCCCAAGGTACCGCAAGACTCAGCACATCACACACATATATATATATTTTTTAGAAGTATGGCCTTAAATCTATGGATATATTACTAACTAGTGTTCAGCACATTAAAAAGACCGGCTTATTATGTAATTTCAATAGATGAGGGAACATACTGAAGTGGCGGGTTAATAAGTGCTGTGGTGCAGTAATGAGGAATTTAACTTGAGATTGAAATCACTTGGACACATAATACCAGTAAGAGGATAGATGGTGTATATCGCCGCCATTAGACTGCTGATTACTTCTCACCACATTCGCGTGACCCTCGCTCGCATTAAGTGAATACTGTTTATTATGCATGATTTTGTATAGGGCTTGGTATGTTGCTTACTCCGATAATCTCAGCTCATACCGTCATTTGGGGTTATCTTTCATTAACATGGGGTTCGAAAATTAGTTATTTTACCTAAGAACATTTGTATGAACCAGTGCAGACTCTCAACTTATTCGAACTCAATTATTCAGGACGAATTTGGAGACACATAGGAGGGCCTGTCAAAGTGTTGGGTTGGTAATAGCCTAACACATATATAAGGAGCACCGCCACACCAACACACAACCTTCAAACACACACACACCAATTACACTATTCAACTATACATTCATTACTGGGTTTTTATGGGTTTTTTATGTATTATATACACACACACAGAGGCATTTGTGGCAGTCAACATATATATAATAATTTATAGGCTAATTTATTTCCCCTTGGTATATATATGTATATTAATTAGGGTATATATGTATATATATACACGTGGTATGAAAATCATAGTATATAAACAGTATATTATTGATATGTATATATCAAATTATAGACACATATATGTACATACACATATTGAATGGTTTTAGTTGATATATATTAGTATATGCGGTACCCTATATACTTCTTATCTGTGAATAATTTTAGAGGATTTATTATATTAAGACATATACAGCGCGTTACTTCTATTTACTAGCTTATACAGTTGCGATGTGCAGTATAAGGTTGCTTGAAACGTTCCAAGATGTAGTTTACCAATATATTATTACTAGATCTACAATGATAAGCATACTGATACATGCATAATATATCCCACTCGCTCAAGGCATAAGGTTAATTTTATGCAAATATATGCGGTGGAAAATTATAAATAAATTATTAAAATAATATAATAAAATATAATAAAAAATACATTAACACACCCTTTCTACCGATATTCATCTATAGTATTCTCTATTGTGATAGCTAACATTAGGACATCTACCTATCTTATATAGTTAATACAATCTTATATATAGTACTGGATTTTTAATAAACTTTTTCTTCCTACTACTTTTAACGCTATATATTTACTAGACGTGTTACAACAATGCGGCACTGAGATAGTCCATACTTCACTCACTAAAACACTTCAATGAGTTGCTTTCACTCCTTATATCAGATAATATACTTTGTTGATGTTATTGATGGCTTTTGTCCCTAATGTAACGTTTTATTGTAATTTGTTCAATATACCCTTTCGAGAAATCTTCTACTAGGGTCTTTATATAATAATATCCCTGGCCTAGGTTCTAATGGCATATTATGTGTGTCCTCTTTGCATCTACTTCCCGGTGTATAGAATACTTATGGTTAGCCATGTAATTTTCTTGAACTTTGGCCTAACGTTCAAATACAATTTACACTTATTCTTTAAGTCTCACTGACGTCTGTTACTCACTTACTTTAATACAGGTTCAATGAATTTTGGGCACAATTACTTAGTTTATTATAATTTATAATTATCTTCTATTAAGACGCCATGGTGAACAATATATATAAATTGATATCCTTGTATGGGTATATTATGAAAAATAATAAAAATACATGTATACGAAATAAGATTGGGATTAGCATCTTTTACTAATACACCTCCATTATGATAACCGCGGTTATATCACCGTACCGACTTCAATCTACCTATATATATTATATAAGCCTCGGCGGCGATAACGGCACGAGTTGTTACCAAGTATATTTTACGATACTATTACTATTACCTTACTTCACCTATCTATAGAGAACAAGCACTATCCTTTTTCACGTCAGTAATACGGGGCTGCAATGGGGGTGTGGAAGAAATAGGTAAGGTAGAGAGAGGAGATGAAAGAGGGAGATTGATGAGAGAGAGGGAGAAGGGAGATGGGGATAAGTGGGTATGAAGGTGGAGGGTGAATAGATAGGTAGAGAGGGAGTAATAGGGAGTATAAAATTAATATATAGGGGGGAAAATAAAATAAGAATTTAAATAGAAAAAAAAAAAAAAGGGGGAATAAATATATAATAAAAATATAGGATAAAGGTGAGTATAAGAATTAGTTATATATATATAATTACGCAAAATATTTGGTGGTTAAATGAAACTAATCAAGAGATTCTATAGATGAAAGAGGCGTGAACTATTTTTCCACACTGGAATCTCGATGGACTACCAGACGTAAACTTAAAGGGATACTGAAGATAGCAGTAAAGTTCCACACAATTTCTGGTTGGTTGGCAGTCAGGAGACCTCTCCCAAAACCGTGCTTCCAGACCAAATTATTAGTCGGGAAAATAAAACAACGGACAACGAAATAAGCATAGAGGGCTATTCACACGACAGGGAGGACGAATATATAAGCATTTATTACGATGTGTAACATGTCATCGAGGGGAGAGCGAAAACAGAATCCGGAGAGGGAGGGATTGCAGCAGAACAAGCAGTCTTTGGAAGGAATCAATTGGTCGGGAGGGTTGTAGGGAATCGGCCCTTTGAATATCCTGTGTGGTTTGAATGTCGACGTAAAAGGGACGAGGGGTCTGGGTGGGTTTATTACGGAGGATTTGGT